GATGAGGGGCAGAAGGCAGAGGGACTGACAGGTCAGATAGTTATCTTGCTGAGCATCTGTAAATGTTCACAACTTAGCACTTGGGGTTTGTTTTCCTAAATTTGAAATAAACGTCTTTAACGTCTAGTTGTGAGAAAATGGCTAAGTAAATTATGGTACATCCATAAAGTTGAAGAACATGCAGCCATTAAAAATGAGTTTATGAAACAGAGTTCTTAGTAATGTGGAAAAATGCTTACTGTATAAATGGAAAAAAAAAGGATAGAGGTACATGTGGCATAACACTTCAACTACATAAAATACACACAAACACAGGATCACTGCTATGGAGAACACGCCAGGACATCCTTCTGAGACCGCACCAGACAAAGCCTGCAGTTTAGAGTAAGCGCCTGGCAATTCAGGTTGTAGACGTCCAGATGTACAGTCAAGGTCAAAGGCAGCTGACCTTCTCTGGTCCTGGTAGTGGGGTGATGGTGACTGTGGGAGGGCACTGTAAAATGTCCTCAAAGGAGCAGGGGTTTTTCATTGAGGTATGAACACCCCGAGGACAGTGTCTCTGCAGGCTTGACTCCATCCTTTATAATACAGTCCATTAAAAACCACCTCCTGCCCTGCCCCCAGCCCCACCATCTGGGTAGAAGGGAGGCATATGTTAAAGTAGATATGGCTATAAGATTCAAAGTGAGTATTCATATAAGAGTTTATTTTTGACAGTAATCTGAGGGTACAGTTAGTTTCTTTCCTTTAGGATTCCTGGGAATCAATAAATGACAGAAGAACTACTGCAACAGTAAGTAATATCTGTCACATATACTTGAAAATTAGATTGTTAAAAAATTGAAGTATAGTTGATGTGCAGTATGTTAGTTTCAGGTGTACAACAGTGATTTGACATTTTAACACATTATGAAATAATCACCATGGTAAGCCTAGTAATCATACAAAGTTATTACAATATTCTTGGCTATATTCAAGAATATTGTATCACATCCCTGTGATGATATAACTAGAAATTTGTAGCTCTTAGTCCCCTTCACTTATTTTGCACAACTACACATCCCTCTCCCCTGTGGCAACCACCAGTTTTTTCTCTGTAAGTTTTTTTGTTTTGTTAAATTTCACAGTAAGTGAAATCATATGGCATTTGTCTGACTTACTTCACTTGGCATAAATACCATCTAGATCCATCTATGGTGTTGCATATGCTAACATTTCCCTTTTTTATGACTAATATTTCATTGTAAATTATAGTCAAACCTTAAACAAGGTTTCAACTGCATGGGTCCAGTTATATGTGGATCTTTTCAGTATAAGCTATGGCACTACACACTCCAAGGTTGGTTGATTCCACAGATGTGGGACCATGGATCCATGGTACTTGAGCATCTGTGGAGTTGGGTATTCAAGGCAGGTCCTGGAACCAATCCTCAGTGGATATTTAGGTATGAGTGTGTACCCCACTGTATCTTCCTCATCCATTCATCTATTGATAGACACTTAGATTGCTTCCGTATCTTGAACATAGGGATGCATATTTTTTTCAAATTAGTGTTTTTGGTTTCTTTGGGTAAATATGCAGAAGGGGATCATAGTGTTGTTCTACTTTTATTTTTTTTTGAGGAATACTATATATATATTTTAGAAGATCTGTGGTTGGATTTAAAATTTATAGACTGGAAATCTGACTTAAAGCTTTCAAATGTTTTATCGCAAGATAATAGAAATCTGAAAAATATCTTTTTGAATTAAGAAAAAATCCCAAACTTGACACTAAGCAGCTTCACAGTATGACAGGATTAGGTTTCCAACTTCCTTGATGAAGATTAAAAATCCTAACTAATTTTCTTAAAACCAAATCCTGAAACAGAAAATTCTCTATATATGTGACCAAAACCAACTGAATGCTATAAAATTTCACACACCACTGAATGTGGTTTTACCTTTATAGTGTTAAGCAGATTAATATAAGATTGCACACATGCCTACCAGCAAAACCACAGATCTTTGAGTCATAGATAAATTCCAAGAATGTGCTCTGAGGTTGGGGGTGAAGGAGAAAGCCAAGTTTGATTTTTAGGTTGTATATGGTGTTTGAATTAAATCACTTCTCCCTTGAACCTCTGTTTCCATGATTCAGCCATCCAGCCTGCTCCATTCTTACTCCCTGCAAGCTGCATTAATAATTATGGGATGAGAGAAACCATTTCATTTAAGTCACTTGGAAGAAGAGGGCATGGCTCACGACATCACCCTGATCCTCCAGTTTGCTTAGGAAGTAGGAGGCTCTCCATCTCTCTGTGGACAAACGTGACATCAGGCCGTAGAAAAGCCAGGGACTAGGAAACAAATGGCAGCAGAACCCAGTCATCAGTTCCTCCCTGGCTTAAGTTTGGTCTAGTTGTAACTGGTTCCAGTATATAAATGAGTCATTGCCATATTAAGTGTCTCTCTAGTGTTATAAATAGCAGACAGATGCATATTGCCCATTTTTTTGAAATGTTGTTAGATTACAACCTCTATGGCCATGGCTGAAAAGCTCAATATGGTAAAATGGTTTGTTTTTCTGGGAACAAAGAGAGTAAGGATAAGGAAATAACGAACTTTAAAAAGTCAACTGAGAGAATAAATAAATTGAACTATTGAAATGTGGAGCATAAATTCCATGCAAAGCTCACTTTTTCTTTCAACTACTGTAGCTGACCATTTACAGTAAATAAGAAACTAGTTAATACCTTACCCTGAAACAGGGACTCTGTCTAATCAAGAAGCATAATGATAAATGGGTGGATTCTACCAGAGGATTCAGGGCACAGCTACCATAAACCTTTATGCAAAGCACACAGCAATTATATATAAGAAAGACACGAAGTATGTATATTTAAAAGGTATATCATATATATAAACAATTGACAGCACTGAAAATGGGAAAGGGGGATTGTTTTGTTTCAATATTTAGAAAAAACTCATAGCACTACAGCTTTATTTATATTGATTTAGTGATTATGCTAATAGAAGCTAATATCACTGAACTAGTACTGTGATTCCCACTTTACAGATGAAGCCTGAGACAGGAAGAGGAAATACTACAGTGGGGAGCTACATTCAAGGCCTGCTCTGCCCACCTGGCCATCTTTGTTTCAGGAAGGAGGTAAGGGGTTATGCATTCCACATTGAGGATAACTGGGTGATCCTGAAACTATTGTTTTTAGTTGCTAAGTTGTGTCTCTTTTGTGACCCCATGGACAGTAGCCCGCGAGGCTCCTCTGTCCATGGGATTTCCCAGGCAAGAATACAGGAATGGGTTGCCATTTCCTTCTCCAGAAACTATTAATGAGACAGAACCTAATATCAAAAGAAATTCTCTCAAATTAGACAAATATCGAAATCTCAATTTCTCTATCTATCTAGAACTAGTTCTCCTGTTTGGCTCTTGTTTTTTGAATTCCTGTAGCCAGAAATCCTACCAGGGCAAGGTTGGGGAGTACAGTTTAGGCCACGAGATGTCACAGTTCCCTCCAGCCTCAATGTCAACCTCCTTAAAAGTTTCAATTGTCAGAAAAATGCTAGACAGTAGAGACTATTAAATTCGATGAGAAAACAGGCCCAAAGAGTTTAAGTAATGTGGTGATGGTCACATAGCCAGTAAGTAATAGAACCAGGATGTAACTACAGAAGAGACAGTATCCAGAGACCTTACTCTTTCCACTTACCACACTTAAAATAGCTGTTTCAACATTTTAGACACACCTTTAAAACCTATCTAGGAAGCTATATGGCATATAACTACATAAACTAATAGACCATATCTGTGGGAAAACCCCTCAATTTTCCTGTTTATAGTCATGAAGTTTCACTCCAAATTATCACTGTTTTTTTTGACAGACACTTGTATAATTCAAATGTCTGGCTTCCTCACATTAAGCAGTGTCTTTTAAGAGTACTGATTCTGGTAACAGTTGGATACGAAGGATAATGCTCACCTAAGTAATAGATATCTTCACCCTTTATGTTCAGCAGAATTAGATAATAAGTCCTCTGATGATACCAAAGAGTATTTCTTTTTGAAATGTTCACATGCAGGGTTTTTCAGAACAACTCACACTAATCTTTATATCCAAGAGCATCCTGTTGCACCCAAGGGGAAATTGTTTTAGAACTGAAAAATTTTGTTCCACATATCCACTGTTATCAGAGAGTATGCTCAAAGCATGTTTTATCAAGCAAAACACAGGGTTGTGGGCCAGTATTTAATCATTTGCTTTGAGCACATTATGGGTACACTCTGGGTGGGGTGGTTAGCAAGGTTCCAAGGAGCTAACAGGACTGGGAAGGAGGAACAGAGGACATTCCAGTGCATTTCACTCAGACATCTCCCCTCTAATTTTTGGCCTTTTTGCTTTTCATCTGTGCTCTAGTCCTGGCACAAACTGATAAAAGCTTTGTTGTGTGGCTCCTCTCATCTTTCCGTCAGAATGCACTCTTACGAGCAGCAAACTAATGTAAAGGTGGTCTCTAAGTAGTGGGAGAGGGATGGTCTGTGGGCTCCCCACCACACAGCAGCACATCCTGAGTTCGGTGGAGCCCTGTCATCCTAAGGGCAGAGCCTCTGGTCTCTCTGTAGAACAACTGGTGATTTGAATTGCATTTCATTTTGCTGAAGATGAGAGTTTCTAGCATATCAGCAACTTGATTGCTGGCAGCCAGCCCATTTGGTACCTTTTCTCAAATCCATGATTTTTGGATGCTTCTTTTCTGAGGTTTTCTGTATAATGCTTTTCAATAGAGACATTCTACTATCAATAAAGAAAAAAAAATTCCTTTAAGTCAAATACCTACATCTCAATTTCTCTATATTTAATCTAGAAATAGTTCAGGCACTCTGGAAATTTCATGGAAGTTGGGAGTCACTCAGTGAATACCTCCTTAGCACCAGCGATGAGCAGGCACTATTCCAGGAGCTGGAAATAGAAGTACAATACACAAATAAGCCAAATGATGCCATTACAGTTTGATATACTATTTATTTAGTTATTAATATGGACAGCCTATTATGCAACATTATAGATATCTTTCAAAACCTAAAATACAGTCCACTATCCAGCCCAGGAGGAGACAATGAACAAGATCATTCTTACAGTAAATGTAGCATAAGCACTCACAATAATTGTCCTTTTCTTGGACATCACAGGGAACAGTCAGTCAAAGGTTCTTTTACCTCCTCTGGGGTTTTAACTTTCTTGAATGACTGCTATTTCAGAGTCAGAAGTCCGCCTTTGAGCCCCTCCCCCCCAGAGATGTGCAGCATCAGTGTTGGAGAGCAAGGAGCCCACCTTACCTTTCAGCCAATATTCATCAAACTTGAGCATACAGAAAAGGCAGGTATGTCACGGGGGTGTTCTGATTAATTTACAAAGATTGTGTTTCAAAGCTCTAAAAACCCGTGTGGTGGTGGAAGAAGTGGCAGTGAAGAGTATGCTACATTTTGCCAAGGAGGTCTTCTCATCTCTTGAGTCTTGGCACCGTCACTTTTCCATTAGGCTTTAAGATCTACTGAAGTTCTCTGTGAAAAGTAGAGGTGGGAAGTGCTAACAGCTACTAGTATCAGGCCATCTGCAGAATGAACTGGACTGGCTGCTATGGCTTTTATAACCTGCTTCCTTTCTTTAGACAAACATTTCTGAAACATTTTCTGTATGTCCTGCTAGTTCTCAAAAAAAATTAAAAGGGCTAAGACTGACGAAACTTCTGGCTTTCAAGCTGGATGGTGATAAATAAAACAAAATCCATTCTCCAATGAGCTATACTCAAATTTTTCAGTTGAAAACAAATGCCAAGTGATTTTTAAGGACATGTGCTGGACACTATTAACTGATGGAAGAAATTCTGAAGTGAAACTGTACATATACCAAAATCTAAAATATAGGCAAAAAACAAGATGTATTAGTGTAATATTCTTCAACCCCTTAGTTTTCTGTTGAAAACTACAGATGTTTTCAGCATCAGGCTACTGATGATGGCCAATTAAATATGAAATTAAAAAACCTCAGGAAGTCTTGCCAAGTTTGTGGCAGTTTCAAGAGTCTACAAAGGAAGAAGAAGAAACCATAGGGTAAAGAGTGAGAGCGTTGGACTTTATTTAATTCTAGGTACCATGGATTTGACATTAGTAGGTAAGACTAACGAATAAGCAGCCATACAGGTTTTTTGGTCGCTGTGCTTTCCAAGCACCAATAAATGGAGCTTTTTTACTATTCAGTCCCATCTTTTGTGCACTGATCAGATCCTGCTGCATTCTCGTTTGTTTCTAATTTACCAGTACATGAGTATGTAGGTTACCAGGGGTGAGGAGCAAGTCACTGTGTAGTACCAAGTTTACATCATCACAGGACTACAACATGCACGTTCTACTTAATGTAGCTCAAGCAACAGGAATACAAGAAAACAGTGATGGGTGGAGACTTGTTCTTGACGAATTCAGGGTCACACTAACTATGGGTTTAGAAATCTTACGGGCAGGTCCCTACAGCAGTTCTTCAGTTGGCACTGGGACGTTACACGCATGCACAAGTGGAGTGGAGGAGGATGGCGCAGAAGAGGCCGCTGGATGGAGGACAGAGGGGAGATGAGAGGGGTGTCGGGGAGGGGCAGTTCTCAGCTTTCCACAGCAAGCCTCTGCTCTGTGAGAGAGGCCTGCTGAGCAACGCTTTTGTTCTCGTGACTGCGAAGTTTGGACACAACGTCTAGGAAGGCCAAATCCTGTACCTCCTTGTGCAGAGGCTCTGGAAGACAAAAACAGGACAACAGGCATGCTTCCATTAGATCGCTCCAATCTCACTATACACACTACCCAAAACATACACCCAGAATGCCTGGTTAAATGATGCTGAGCTATAAAAATAGGTCTGTTTTAAATTTTGTGGCAAATAAAGAGGTTTTACCTCTCCAGAGGGAGGGGAAACACGTATACTTACAACAGACTCATGTTGCTGGGCAGCAGAAAGCAACATGACATTGTAAAGCAATTATCCTCCAATTTAAAAAAAAGTTATACCTCACCTCCTTTCAACAGATTTCTGTGATAGCAGACTCCTTTTCAGATTTCCTATCTTCTTTCTCTTGCTCTATTTAACTTCAATTACAGTAAAATACAGGATTCCTCTCAAGGCCAGTAAGTTTAATGTAATTAGCATTCCTCAAGCTGGTGTATTTATTTTGATAAAACTGAGGTATAAAACCAGTTGGAGTAGCAATACTCAGATTTTAAAATAATTGATATTTGTAGAGCATTCCATCCAAAAGCAGCAGAAAACACTTTCTTCTCAAGTGCACGTGGAACATTCTCCAGGACTGACCACATGTTGGGCCACACAGTGAGCCTTGGTAAATTTAAGAATCTTGAAATCACATCAAGTATCTTTTCTGACACAATGCTATGAGATTGGAAATTAACCATAAGAAAAACTGTAAAACATACACATGTGGAAGTGAAACAATACGCTATTAAACAACCACTAGCTCACTAATCACTGAAGAAATCAAAGAGGAAATTAAAAAAAAAAAACCTAGAGACAAATGAAAACAAAAGCACAAAAAATCCAAAACCTATGGGACACAGCAAAATCAGTTCTAAGAGGGAAGTTTATTGCAATACAATCTTACCTCAGGAAACAAGAAAAATCTCAAACAATCTAGTTGTATCTAATGCAACTAGAGAAAGAAGAACTACCAAAAACCCAAAGTTAGTAGAAAGAAAGACTTAGCAGAAATAAATGGGACAGACATGGAGAAAACAGAAAAGATCAATGAAGCTGGTTCTTTGAAAAGATCTTGATAAACCTTTAGCCAGACTTGTCAAGAAAAATGGAGAAGGCTCAAATCAATAAAATTAAAAATGAAAAAGAGGTTATAATAGACACCACAGAAATACAAAGGATCATGAGACTACTACAAGCAACTATATACCAATAAAATGGACATCCTAGAAGAAATGGACAAATTCTTAGAAAGGTACAATCTCCCAAGACTGGTCTGTTTATATATTTTTCCATTTGTTCCTGGTGCAGTAACAAGAAATGAAATGGAAAATGTGATTAAAAACTTCCCAACAAAAGTTCAGGACCAGATGGCTTCACAGGTGAATTCTATCAAGTATTTAGAGAAAAGTTAACACCTATCTTTCTTAAACTATTCCAAAAAATCAGAGGAAGAAACGCTCTCAAACATTTTATGATGTCATCATCCCTGATACCAAAACCAAAGATAGCACAAAAACAAGAAATTTATAGGCCAGTATCACTGATGATCACAGACAGAAAAATCCTTAACAAAATATTAGCAAACCAAATCCAACAATACAGTAAAAGGTTCACTTGAAACTATCACAACACTGTTAATCATTATTATACTCCAATATAAAAAAAATTTTTTTTTTTTAAGTCAGGGGTATGTAATGTACACCATAGGGAATATAGTCAATGATACTGCATTAATTTTGTGTGGTGATCAATTCATAACATATATAAATGTTGAATTGCTATGCTGTATACCTGAAGCTAATATCATATGTCAACTATATTTTAATAAAAATTAAAGAAAAAATAAAAACTCAATACATTAAAAAGATCATACAACATGATTAAGTGGCATTTATCCCAGGGATGCAACACAACAAAGTAAAGGATAAAAACCATATGATCATCTCAATAGATGAAGAAGCTTGTGATAAAATTAAAGACCTATTTATGATAAAACCTCTCCAGAAAGTGGGCATAGAGGGAACAGACCTCAACATAATAAAGGCCATATAAAACCTACCTTACATCACAATACAAACATTAAGTCATAATAGATCAAAGACCTGAACATAAGAGCTGAAACTCTAAGAAACTTAAAACTTTAAAAAATTTAAAGAAAACCTAGGGGAAAAACTTTACAATGTTAGGTTTAGTAATGTTTTCTTGGATATGCACAAAAAAACCTAGGCCACAAAAGGAAAAAGAGAAACTGGACTTCATCAAAATAAAAAACTTCTGGGTGTCAAAGGACACAACAGTGAAAAGGCAACTCTTGAAATAGATGAAAATATGTGTGAATCATATGTCCAGTAAGGATTTAATATATAGAAAGAATATATAAAGAATTTCAACAACCAACAAGAAACAACCCAAATAAAAAATAGGCAAAGGATTTGAATAAACATTTCACCAAGAAGATAAGATATACAAATGGCTAATGAGCAACTAAAGATCCCCAACATCACTAATCATTAGGGAAAAGCAAATCAAAATTATAGTAAGTTACCATCTGACACCCATTAGGATGGCTGTCATCAAGACAAAATAGCATATTAGTGAGGATGTAGAAATGGAACCTATGTGCACTTCTGGTGGGAATATAAAAATGGTGCAGCCACTGTGGAAAAGGGTACAGTGTTTCCTCAAAAAATTAAACTAGAATTTTGTATATATATGCAAACTAACTGAAAGAAGGAACTCATATTTGTGCACCCATGTTCAGAGTGGCATTACTCACAACAGCCACAAGGTGAAAAGAATCCAAATGTCCACTGACTGGCTGAATGGATAAACAAAGTGTAATATATACAAACAATGGAACATTCTTCAGCCTTAAGAAAGAATGGAATTCTGACACGCTACACATGAGCCTTGAAAATATCATGCTAAGGGAAAATAAGCCAGACACAAAAGAAAAAATATTGTATGGTTCCACTTACATAGGGTACAAAGAGCAGTCAAATTCATAAAGACAGAAAATAAAACTGTGGTTGCCAAAAGCTGGGAAGATGAGTGACTACGAAGTTATGGTTTAAAGTCTATGGAGTTTCAGTTTGGAAAGAAGTAAAAGGCCTGGAGAATGATAGGGATGACTGCACAGAGAAGTGAATGAACTTAATCCACTGGACTCTACACTTAAAATGGTTCAAATGGAAAATTACATGTATATTTTACATTAAGAAATGAACAATTATGAACATACTTGAAACAAATGATATCAGCTAGGAAACAGAAGATATAAGGAACAGAAATTTTTGGAACTCAGAACTATATACATGCAGTGGGTATGTGTATTGCATATATACACAGAAGTAGAATTGCTAGGTCATACAATAATTCTGTTTAATTTTTTTGAAGACACAGTGGCTGCAATAAAAAGCTTGATAGGCTCAAGAACAGAATGGAAAAGACAGAAGAAATAATCAGTGAACTTTAAGACAAAGCAATACAAATTACCCAGTCTGAACAAAAGAGAGGTAATAAGCTGGAAAAAAATGAACAAAACTTCAGAGCATTGAGGGATACAAATAAAAAGCTCACATTTGTGTCATGAGAGGCCTTGAAGGACAAAAGGAATAGGGTGAGACTGAAAAAGTACCTGAAGAAATATGGTTAAGAACTTTACAAATTTAGCAAAAGACAAAATGCCTATAGATTCAAGAAGCTGAACAAACCTTACATAGGATAATCCCAAAGAAATTCATGCCAAGACACAGTCTAGTCAAACTTTTGAAAACTATTAACAAAAGCAAGTCTTACGACAGAAATGACACCTTACCTACAAGTGAAAAACAAATCCGGAGATGATGGATTTCTCCTAAGAAACCATGGAGGCCAGAAGAAAGTGGCATGACATTTTTCAAGTTTTGAAAGAAAAGAACTGTCAACCCAGAATTCTATACAGAGAAGATATTTTTTAGAAATGAAGAGGAAATCAAGATACTCTCAAAGAAAATGAATAACTGAGGAACAATAAAGGAAATGACAATTTGTTACAAGCAGACCTAACCTAAAATAATGGCTAAAGGAAATTCTTTAATGTTTTTTTAAAACATTAAACAGAATGTTTTTTTAAAAAAGCAATCTTGGAACATCAGAAAGAACGAACAGATATAGCAAAGACATAGATAAATACAATAGCTTTCCTTTCCTCAAGTGTTTTCTGGATTATCTTTGATGCTTGAAAACAAAAATTGTAACACTAATGTGGTTCTAAGTGTACAAAGGAGAAATATCAACAAATTGAAAAGACACATGCACCAGTACCTCCATGCAGCATTATTTACAAAAGCCAAGATACACAGCAATATAAGTGTCTGAGGGTAGATGAATGAGTAAAGAAATGATGGTGTGTTTATATGATGGAATACTACTCAGCCATGAAAAAGAATAAAATCTTGCCATTTATGACAATACGGCTGGACCTTGAGGGTCTTCTAAGTGAAATGAGACAAAGATAAAGACCACATGATCTCTCTTATATGTGGAATCTAAATACCAAGTTCATTAGATACAGACAACAGATTGGTGGTTACAAGGGGCAGGGATTGGGGGTTGGAGAAATGGGTGAATTTTTTTTTTTTAGTTTAAATATTAAAAACTACAGTAATAAAAAGAAAACCCAAAGAAACAGTAAATGATTTTCGTTTACTGATTAAGCAACACACACTTTTTTCCCCTACTTATTCCCCTCCAACTTGGATTTCATATTACAAAAAAAAAACAAACTTACCAGTAGAGCAAATAATATTTCTATTTTTGTCTAACAGAACAAAAATAGAAAATTCAGAAAATACCCAAAGACAATACTCCCTAACTAACTAAAGACTTAACACAAGAGCATCTTGACCATTTATTTATTGGTCAAATTGAGAATGGATGCACTCTTTTTAAGGAAAATTTTAACATCTGGGGGGTTGCCCAAGCAGGATTTGTGGAAAATATCAGCAATTATTTCAAAGCAGAGGCATACTGGGGCGTTAGTCAGTATAGCAGAACACAACAGAAAACACTAATATGGGCAATGTAGACAGAGCCATGCCAGCAACATCCAAAAAGATGGAGCTTCAAGCCAAGGGATTCCATGATTTCAGTTCCTTTAGCACAGTTGACACAGCTGCAAAGAAAGCCACCTTGACCTGATGCCATTACACAGTCCCCTCATTTAACTCTCCTTGTCCTGATCAAAGCTCATCAAGCAACCCTTGATGCCTGTCTGCCCTGAAGGAGTCAATGCACCAGATGTGCATCTGTGGTGCTCTGAGATCAGTGGCAGTCATACTTCTCATTATAAAAGGGTAAACCACCATTCTGGTTTTGTACCTGGATGAGGTGAGCCTATCCCAAGAGACAGATCCACTCTTGGTGTATGCAAAAAAAAGTCTACCTAGAAACCCGACCCCCATCAAGGCTAAATTCCAGAGATGCTTTCCTGAAACTCACCCCCCTCTACTGCCCACCATCTTGGCTGTTACCATCACCTTGAAAGTTGCTAACCAGACAGGCCCATTTATATTCACCACTCCTCACCCAGCACCACTGCAATGTGGTGCTTATTTCCTTCACAGTCTTGGCTTCCTTGTCTAATAAATGGCAGTAATGATTCTGACAGACAACGCTGGATGAAATTACATAATCCTTAAGCATTAAGACAAAAAAAAGCATAGGGGATGACACAGTGGATTAAAACACAGGACCTAACAGCACGCTGCCTACACTTCAAATACAAGATACAGCAGACTGAATCTAAACGGGTAGAAAAGGACCGAGTGAATATATTCAAAAGAAAGCAGGAGTAGCTATATTAGTATCACACAGACTTCAGAGCGCAGTCTACTACCAGAGACAGAAATGTTACATATTGATGGAAAGGCAAATTCTCTAGGAAGGCACAGTGATCCTAACGTTTTATGTACCTACCAACAGAGCTGCAAAATATATGAAGCAAACCTGACAGAACTGAAGGGAGACAAAGACAGACTAACAATTACAGTTGGAAACTTCAACACCTCTCTCGATAATTGACAGAAGTAGTAGAAAATCAGCAAGAGTATATCAATAGAAACACTAATGCCAAGAAAAAGGATCTTACTGACATTTATAACACTCACCACTCGGTAACAGCAGGATGCATGCTCTCCTCCAGTGTCCATGAAATATATACCAAGATATGCCAATTTCTTGAACAAATTCCTTAGCTAATATCATGGTACACAAAATCAGAACTTGTTTTTTATATAAAATATTTTAGGGTTAATGAAACTTAAACCTATTAATTTCTTAACACTGACTTTTACCTATATAGTGCTACCTAATTTCTATTACCAAGAATCTTTTGAAAGTGTTTGCAAGGTAAGAGTAACCCTATGTCTTCTGTAAATTTTAAATGCTTTTAAAACCCAAAGCCACCATTTACTATTATTTTATATTTAATGTCAGCCATATGTTGAGGAACATCAAATGACGGAGGACACACGTACCAGATCCCATGAGAGCACAGATCAGGACCATGGAATTGTATTTGATTTCAGGAGCACTTCTCTCATCTGCTAGCAGCCTGTGCAAGATCTGTACAAGTTGAGCACTTTCTAGGTCTTTCTCAGCAGTACCTGGAACATGAAATAATTAAAGTATCAGTTATATTCACTGGGTATAAACCTGGTACACTCTGGCTAAAAATTGCTTCCCCTTTTGTAAAATGATCATGTTAAACCTTCTGAAAGGAACTGATAAGCAGAAAAGATGGTATGATATACTATGTACTATCACCATCTTCAAAAATTATCATGACCAAATAGGCACATGATATTCAGCATCACTAGTTATTAGAGAAATGCGAATCAAAACTACAATGAGGTACATCACCTCACACCTGTCAGAATGGCTACCATCAAAAAATCCACAAACAACAAATGCTGGAGAAGGTGGGGAGAAAAGGGAACCCTCCTGGACTGTTGGTGGGAATGTAAATTGGTAGAGCCACTATGGAGAACAGTATAGAGGTTCCTTAAAAAGCTAAAAATAGAACTACCCTCTGATCCTGCAATCCCACTCCTGGGCATCTATCCAGAGAAAAACATGGCCCGAAAAGATCCATGCACTGCAATGTTCACTGCAGCACTGTTTGCAATAGCCAAGACATGGAAACGACCTAAATGTCCATCAGCAGAGGAATGAGTGAAGATGATGTGGTGTGTATGTATACACACACAACGGAATAGTACTCCGCCATTAAAAGGAATGCAATAAGGCCATCTGTAGCAACATGGATGACCTAGAGAGAGTCATACTGAGTGAAGTAGTCAGAGAGAGGAGAGATAGCGTATGACATCCCTTTATGTGGACTCTAAAACGAAATGATACAAATGAATTTCCTTACAAAACAGAAAGAGACTCACAGACTTAGAAAACAAACTCATGGTTGCCAGGGGGAAGGGATAGTTAACAACTTTGGGAAGGTCATGTACACACTGCGATATTTAAAATGGATAACCAACAAGGACCTATTGTATAGCACATGGAACTCTGCTCAATGTTATGTGCCAGCCTGGATGTGAGGGGGATTTGGGGGAGAATGGATACATGTATATGTATGGCTGAGTCCCCTCCCTGTTCACCTCAAACTATCACAACTTTGTTAATCAGTTATACCCCATTACAAAATGTTTTTGGTGTTAAAAAAAAAAAAAGTTTTTTAAATGATCATGGCCAATTGTGTATCCTTTATCTCTCTTCTTATCTACCTATTCTTTATAGTCACATAATTTCCTCTATATGTATTCTAGAATGTATCTTTAAGAGAATGGTACCCTGAAATTCCTATCAAAATTCCAATAGGATTTTCTAGAGAAAATAGATAAGCTTATACTAAAATGGTGTGTGGGAAACCACAGGTCCTAAATGAGGTAAACAATCTTGATAAAGAAGAATAAAGTGGGAGTAAGTCCTCTACTTGATATGATGAAGGTCACTCACTATATAGGATCAGTTATCAAGAGTGTGGTGTTGGTGGAGAGATAGACACACAGGACAAAGGAACTGAAAGACAACCCTAGAAGCAGACCCACAGAAATATGCTCAACTGATTCTTGACAAAATCAATTCAGTGGAGGAAAGACAGTCTTTTCAACAAATGGTACTGGGGCAAGTAGATCCATAAGCAAGGGGAAAAAAGAAACCCTGACCTAAACCTCACATTTTATATAGATATTAACTAAAAAAGGATCACAGACTTAAATGTAAAACTACAGGACTTTCAGGATACAAATAATCCTTAAAACTCAATAGTTTAAAAAAAATTAGAAAATGAGCAAAAGACACAGGTATTTCACCAAGGAATATATAAGATGGAAAAGAAGTACATAAAGATGTTCAACATCGGTAGTCTTTAGAAAAGTGGAAATTAAAACTACATGAGGTATCACTACATATCTCTCAGATTGACTAAAATTTTAAAAATTAGGGATAATATTAAATATTGGTGAGGTTAAAGAGAAAACTAGGTCACTTATACAGTGCTGGCAGGAATGTAATGTTTTCCAGAGCCACTCTGGAAAAGTTTGTTATTTCTTAAAAAAACAAACATGTAGTTACTGTACAACCTAGCAGTTATAACTCCTAGGCATTTATCCAGAAAAATGAAAATTTGTGTTTACATAAAATCCTGTACATGAATGTTCTTTGCAGCCTTATTTTCAAAAGTCCCAAAGTAGAATCAGTCCAGATGTCCTTCAATAGGTGAATGGTTAAACAAGTCGTGGTACATACAAATCATAAAATACTATTCAGTAATGGGAAGGAATAAACTATAGTCACACAAATCAATGACTCTTTAGGAAATTACGCTGACCAAAAAAAAGCCAATTTTAAAAGGTCATATACTATATGATTCCATTCATACATTTCTGAAATGAAAAAAAAATTTAGAAATGAAGGGTAGGTTAGTGGTTTCCAGGGATTAGGAGAGTAGGAGGCAGGTGAGTGTGGTTATGAATGGAGGATCCTTGTGGAATTAGAACTGTTCAGATACACCTACACAGGTGATCAAGCTGAATTTAACATAAATAGAAACAAGTACAGGTAAAACTGGGGAAGTCTGAACCAGAGGTAAATTTTATCAGGGGTTGGGATGTTATATTAGGTTTGCAAAATGTTACCACTGGGCAAACTGTGAAGGCATCTTTATTATTTCTTTTAATTGCATGTGAATTTACAATTACCAAAAAAAAAAAAAAAAAGGACTCTTTAAAATGTTGCTTTAATACTATTATCATACAAAAATTTTATAATTCCTTAATAGTATTTAAAAACCTGAAAGGATACAGGTTTGGAAAAACATGGTTTTCAAAGTGTGTTGTATATTAAAAAGGTACTATGGCCTTATTTTTAAATCTTAGGCTCAAGGAGTCTAGGAAAAACTAGGTGATAATGACAACAAATGTAATTATGTATTATCATTTTATATAGTTCTATGGTGAGGTAATCTGACTCAGGCAAATGCTCAGTTATTAAGAAGGCAAAATTAAAGCCTATTTAGAAGACACTAGTTATGAAGGGCACAAGACCAGATTCACCCTAGGTTGGTAAGTCAAGGATATTCTAAAATTGCTTCATCACTAAGCCATTTTACAAAATCAAGTCATGAACTCTGTTTGACATTCAGTGTCCTCACCAATTCTCACCTCTTCATCATAGTCTCTGATGAAGTAATCTCCCCTACCCATGGAGGAAATCATAGGCTAGACCAGGACTCAAACTGACTTCCACAGCATCTTTAACTTGTCACCAAAGTGACATACACCTTCTTGAAGTCTTGTGTGTGCATGCGTGCATGCTTAGTTGTGTCTGACTCTCTGCAACCTATGGACTGTAGCCCACCAGGCTCCTCTGTCCGTGGAATTTTCCAGGCAAGAATACTGGAGAGGATTGCCATGTCCTCCTCCAGGGTATCTTCCCAACCCAGGGATCGAACCCACATCTCCTGCATCTCCTCCTTTGGCAGGTGGATTCTTTACCACTGGGCCACCTGGGAAGCCTGAAGTCTTTTCTAGCTTTAAAATTCAAGAAAATTTTACATCCTATGATTTTTTAAAAAAATCATATAGGGTTTTAAAGTTTATAACCTGTTAAGAGGACAAAAAATTCAAATCTCTCACACCTGAAATCTGAGTAAATCTGACATTAGAGGAAGATATACCATTTTTATCTTTTGGCTTCTCCTTCCTGGGATAATGGTTGGTGAGAGTGAGAATTTCCCACAGTGAGAGTTATGGGCATAAGTTGTCACTTAGAACTGAAGTGATCAGTTAACAGTATTTACCCGAGTATCTCTGAAGGGAACAGGACATGTCTATTAAGTCTACAGGCCTCCTTTGTGTAAGGTAGCCTCAGGTCTTACCTCAGGCCATGTGACTTTCATTGTCTCCAGCTGACTACCTAGCAAAGCTTGGTTCCTGACACAAAGTTGCCCCCCATAAACTAGATGTCTGAGTGAGCTTTTCCTGAAGAATTCTGAGTAACAGGGATACTGCCACGAAGAGACTAACTGAATCATTTAGACTCTGCTTTGGGGGAACTCTGCGTGTACATACACAGAAGAGTGACATAAAAGGTGAAGATTTAGAATGAAGGTAATGCTATAAAGCAATAGAAACCATGGTGACAGAGAGGAGACCAGCAAGAGACAGTCAGCAGTGTAGACAAGAGAATCTGAGTGTCTGGAAGAGTAGCAAACTCTAAACTTACTATTGAATTCTAAATAGTGTTTCATTTTTCCATGAGGCCTGCTGAAATTCCCTAAGTGCCTAAAATCTGAGATATCATTTAAGAGTCAAACTAAGATTAAAGCATTGCCTTAAAAATGTTACCAAAAGAACAACCCAAAGGGACACCTATGGTGACAATCTATAGAGTATGGTTTTCCATTTACTCAGATGTAGTATAGACACACACTGGCAAAATGCTTCTGGTCAAAGGTTTTGTCTGACTTCTATTCCACTCCTGTGCTTCCTTTCATCCAAGATAAAAATAGGAGAAAATAAGTTTGTCACTGGGGTACTTACCCAATTCTAAAGCTGCTATTAGTGCCAAAGCAACAAGGGCTTCATTCTGCATTATTACATGTTCACTAGTTGCCATGGTAACTAGATGCTTGATGCCACCACTTTGTACAATGGTTTTAATTACATCCTACAATAAAAAAGTATCATGAAATTATAAACTTTAATTTTAAACATAAACTGCATTACAATCAGTCAATTCACTCGAGTGGTTTTCTGACAGTGTCCCTATGAATCATTACATTTAACCATAATTTTTTTTCTTCATAGAAAAGAAGGAAAAAGCTTTTAGCTTTAAATAAATTCATCAAAAGATGACAACTTAAACTACCTAAGCAAAAAAGACCACTGCAGTTCTTATCAAGGAAGAGAGTTTCAGAAGCTAACAAACAAAAGTGCCACTGACCCAAATGTTCACCTACCATGAGATCAACAAAACAGAATAGATCTTGGAATAATAAAAAAGTTCTTCCTTTCAAATTTTTATTATTAATATAATACCAGGTGGCTGCTTTTCAGATGAACCAGGTGAAGCTTTGTATGTATGTATGTATGCATGTATCCACGTAGTCTTAAAACCTGTGCTGTATCTGACAAAGTAAGGTTACATACAACAGGACTTGAGGAGAACTTAAACCAAAATTCTGCTCTCTCATTTCTCATAGTACCTACAACTCTGTCCTTTCCAGTGGCAGTGGGGCAGTGGGCTCCAGACTCAATAAATCTCACTGACTTTGAGCAAATTACAAAAGCTCTCTGCATCTCAGTGATATCACTTGAGATAATCTAAGTGTATATCTCATAGGTTTTTATTATACAAAATTATTACATGAAAAGCATACATAAAAGTATACAGCAAAGGCTAGTGAAAAGAAATGGCTACACTTATTTCTAGTACTCACTTTTGTCTTCATCTCACTTAGGGTTTTGTGGCCTTCAAACTCAAGTCTTTGTTGGCCTGACCGCCACATGTAACAGGAATTTAAGAGTTCCAGATTCAGATGCCAAAATATGTCTGTCTGTTTTAATCTAGTTAACAGAATTATGGTTTGTCTAAACGAAACCATTGGTAAGCGACCTCATGGAATGGAGCAAAGAGTTAGGGTAAAGACTCCAAAAAGGATAGAAGAGTGATCTTGGAATAAGCAAGTTAGTTGGAATGTCAGTTCCTCCCATAGTCTCTCATTTTGATGAATGACATGATGACCCCACCTGGTCCTAAGCCCCAAACATGGAATTATCTCTAAAACATCCTTCTCCTTTGGCCCCAATATTGAATTCTGTCAGTTCTACCACCCATATCTTTCTCAAATCCTTCTCTTCTTTTCCATCCTCACTGCTTCTATTAGGCTGAACTATATGCTATTTGTTTCTTCATGTCAAAATGGTCGAATATCAGCAATTTCAAATTACTCAACCCAAATCCTTAGTTCAGCCCTTCATCATCTCTCATGTATATTTTTGAAAGAGCTTTCTTTTCCTCGCCCCTAGTAAATAAGCTGTGGAGTCAACTTTCTAGGAAAACCAAATAATGGCACCCAGCTGCTTAAAATCCTTTGGGAGCTTCTTAATTCTCTACAGAATCAACCTGGCACATAGCTCATCTTAATCCCCACTTCTCTTCCCCTTTGGTGACTGTCTCTGGGCCCAACAGAGCACAGTTATGATGGAGAAGAGTTAAGAGGAGGACCACAGGAGTTCACTTTGCTCTTCTTTCTGAATACTTTCCATCTCGTCAACAATACACTTGGTCCTGTCCTGGTGTCAATGAAATGGATGGGCTTTCAGGCTGCTCTAGGTGAGACAGGTGGTAGGAAGGTCCAAAAGTTACCAGCGGTTTTTGCTCCAGGGAAAGACACCAAGAGATAGCATGTGATGGGGAGGAACATTCTGTGACCAATCAGCTGGAATAGCTACTGTGGTGAAGTCAATTATTTATATGAAGGAGATTTACTCAAGACAAGGAGTACCTTTAAGATTTTTTTCTTGCCATCTTTTAATCTGTTTCATAAATAAATGAATGGTTTCCTCAGACTTACTTTTGATTTACTGTGTCGTATGAGGGCAGACAGCAGTCTGTTTGACTCTCCCATCACACCAGCATGATCTTTGGCTTCACACCACTCCACCAAACGCTCCACTAACTTAACATTTTTTCCCAGTTGTTCAGCAGCTTCTGCTATAGGAAAGAAGGCAAACCACAAAGGAATGAGCCACTAATAGGCAATCAACTAAAACAACTAGTTAAAGATGTAAGAGTGTGAAGGAAAATTACACGTCTAAAAAACAGAACACAACAATATTGTTAAATAAGAACTGCAAAATACTCTGTATCTAATGGATTATTGAGATTTTTTTATATAAAGTTATGGACTTTTATATAAAAAATGAAATAACTTTATACTCTTTTGGCTCAGCCTGGTAATCTGTTAGTACTCTGGAAAACTGTACCAAAGAGTTTTCAGCAGTACTTAAGGAATCAATACACATAAAGTTTAGAATTTAGAAATAAATAAATATAACTCATTCCAAGGATTAGTTTTCATTATTGTTTCTGTAAACAGAAACATGATCTCCCTGTTTGTAAAACAAATTAAAAAAATTTTTTGAATGTCACTGTATTGAAACAATGATTTTGAAGACAAGGGAAAATCAGTATAGAAAATGCCAAAACATAAAAATTCCCTCAAGAACTGTTAATAAATCAATCTAAGACCAGGTTATACCTATAAATGAAGAGAAGTGCAATATAATTTCCATTTAAAGTCAATTATAACAAGCATGGAAATTAATTAATGGGGATCTAAAACCAATCTCTTTTGCCTTTTATTTGCTACTTATCTCTATGATTCTGAAAGCTAAAAACAGGTCCTTTTTCATACAAAACATACACCTTAGGAAAGAATTTCTCTTACCTTGTGCATCTATTAACATTCTTAATGTTCCCAAGAGTTTGAACTGAACCGGGGGCATTTCAGATTTAAGGAATTTCAAAACTGCCTCCGTGACTCCAGCTGATAACATCTTTGCTTTATTTACAACTAGAGAGAGAGAGAGACTGGTTAAAATTATGTTAGCATTTTTGAGGATAATCATTCAATTCAGTATAATTTTTAAGTGTCTTATTAGCTTTAAGGATCCATGTTACATTTTTCTACTTAAAAACAATCATATTACTTTTCTATTAATTTTAAGAATGGGATTGGGAATGGGAGGTCTGGGGGATAAATACCCTCTGTCTATAGAAGCACAAAATACAAAATCACATATACTGGCTTTTAAAATCTAATTTAAAAAACCAGTAATTTGTAAAGGAAATCTGACAATGTTGCCTTCATATTTACAAAAAGCATGATTCCTCAACTTTAATAAATGTCTCTTTTTACCTCTATCCTTGACCCAAGTGTGTTAATATAGATATTACAGACATTAATAAACCATCTTAATCTGCTACATGAAACAAATTTATTTTATATAGATTGCATTTTCATATGTTACGCTATTTTTACCTAACCAGAAATTTATCATTAGAAAGTAGAATAACAGGATGGTTTTAACTATATCCTGTATTATTTCCCATGATAATGTTATTTTGAAAGACTAGTCATCCAAAAAGGCACATTAAGGCTAGTTAAAAAAAACTGTATGTCCGTACCCACTGCTATATTTAAAATGGATAACCAACAAGGACCTACTGTATAGCAATGGAACTTTCCTCAATATTATGTGGCAGCCTGGATGTGAGGGGTTTTGGGGGAGAATGGATACATGTATATGTACGGCTGAGTCCCTTTCCTGTTCCCCTGAAACTAGCACAACGCTGCTAATTGGCTGCAGCCCAATACAAAAAGTTCAAAAGGAAAAAAACTTCATGTCTACTTGTAGGGAAAAAAACTCTTTAAAAAGTCATCTTTAGGGGATGCTATGAATTGATATTATCTTCCTCAACTGAAGATGCTTTAAAAATCTTAACTATACAGTATGATGAAAATCTGGGAGTTCACAAAACGTAATAGAATATTTGAATAATCTGAAAAAGGAAGATTGTGCTCGTACAGTCTCAGAAAACGTCTTTAACATATAATCTCCATTTATTAGTAAGAAAAACGTAAGCAATCTGAAGACTATGACTTTCCTTTTCTTGGTCAGGGCAGGTCCACAAATCACATAAAGTAAACACCTTTCCAAAACAACAGACCTTCTCTCTTACACAGTTGGCTCCGGTTCTTGAGACTTACCTGGGATGGCTAGGTTTCTGAGGGCACTCAGTGCTGCATGCTGAACAGTTACATTTCCATCTTCTACATGTCTGTCCAATAAATCCATAAGTTTTTCTACAATCCCATTGTCTACCATGTGGATACAATTTCCATCTAAATAACAACAGAAAACATTTTTCCCCTCTTTGCAAATATTTATAAATATTTTGTAATACTCATGCCAGCCCATTATCTACATTAAGGAAAATGGAGCTATAGAAAAATAAAATGAATTCCATCTCTTTCTCACATCAGATTTATGAGATTTTTGTTTGTTTACTGAGTGAGAAGTCATATGAGATTCTTAAAATAGATAAAATTTTTAAAATTGGCCCAAAAAATCTCTAGCTGAGATCCCGACCGTATGTCAGAAGATGAGTAAGTAGAAACCACATGCTTAATGTGTCCTCTGACTGTTTCATTTATAATGAAGTATGCCAGTGTTCTGCCCAGATTACACTAACAGTACTCTACACTTTGTTACCATGGTTGATATTTATTTTTTAAAGCAGAATTTCTGAAACATTTATAAAACAGAATATTATAATGAATTATTATTTAACCCCCATTTAGCTTCATGAATTATCAATATTTTGCAAGTCTTATTTTCATCACTAAGGAGGTAATGATGGTCCGCAAAAAGAAGGAAAAATGGAAGAAGTCATTATTAAAACATGCTATAACAAGAGTTAATACTCAAATAAAATCAAATTAAAAACAAAAGTAACTCATATTTCCTAGACATAAGTATAGAATAATATACTTCCTAGTATAAGTTTCTAGAATGAACAGCAGAAGTATCAGACTTCAGAAATATACATAAAGTCTGGTGCCTCTGAAGTATTATTTAAGTAAATATTCCAGCCTAAACCAGTAGATCACCCACACTTAAGTTCTGTAGACATAAGAGTATAAATTGAGGCACAATAATGAATACTCAGGTTATTAAAACCAAGATAAAATCTAAATCCAAAGAGCATATCCTTCTAGGTCAGAAGTATATTAGCATGGGACTAAAGTTTATTCATCTCTGAAGTGTAAGAGTATTCAAAAAGAACTTCAAAGTCACTGTTCATTATCTTTAAACTATTAGCTCTTAGTTGAAGTGCATAAAACATGTAATTTGTTGGGCAAGTCACTATTAGTATTTCAGATTTCTGAAATATTAAGGTAGTGGTACACACAGATACTGCATATGCTTCTGATCGGTTCTAGGTTTAGTACATGTTATGGCAAAGCAGAATTCTAAGATACAGAAAGCCTGACTCAGTAAGAATGAACTAATGTGCTCACCATTCCTGGCAAAATTTGCAATTGCCAACGCTCCAGCAAGCTGTAGCTGGTGGTTATTTGATGGAATCCAAGAGAGTACCCTTTGAAACACACTGCCTTTCCCTCCTTCAAATAATCTCTGCATGGATTCATCTAGAGATAAATGAAACGGATATGAGGAAAAGACTTAGGAGTGACACATCCATATTCTTAACTGAATACCCAACTGGGAAATCATATACTTCATAGTCCACAATTCATAAAGGGAGAAGTAATGGCTCTTTTTATCATAAACTTTTAGTAGAGACTGGACAAAAGGGTTTAGAATTTTTCTATTCTAAATCCCAAGCAGCCATCTAGCTTTTAGACCTTTGGCATCATAGCTGTCTCTTCTAAATGACAGCTCTTTAAATACTGTGTAAGATAGTAAAGACTCCTGTCCAGGTTCATTATCTCTAGTTCTCTTTATGATGTGTTTCAAAATCATCACATCAACAAGATTAAATGTGACAGGAAAATGAGAGAAAATGCCTGATGAAGTATTTATAAAAGAGACAATAAATTTTTTAAAAATTTGACAACCATGTTCTTTTATTGGCATAAATTACAACTCACCTCCAAGAAGTAATAAAACCATTAGATCCGAAGCAGTTTTGAGCTCAGCAATATCCTCCTCTTTGTCACTATCCACTTTCTGCTGAACAATCTCCAGTAGACATTCTACCAGGCCTGATTCAACGAGCTGTAGTTTAATAGCATCTAAAGAATAATGTGAACAAAATAACCAAAATTTAAGATGAAATAGTTCTGGTGTAAGCAATTTATTGTTAAGAATTATAAGACACCAAGAAAGTACATGATTTAGATAATAACCCTTTGAAGATTTGAGTTTCAAAAGGAAGTATCAGACAGTGCAGCTTAAATACACAGGGCTTTATTTCATTTTTCCATTTGCTATTATGTCACTTTTCACAATGTCTGGCAGCACCTAAACATATTGATTCTCAGCTCTGAAGGGAGGTAATATCTACTGTTATTCTAGAGATTATACTCACATTTAAAAGGCAACACTATAAAATATCCCACACTGTTTTATAAAACACACACAGATGATATAGTCAAAATATATCCACTAATGGAGTTTGAATACCAAAATATTGAAAAAAGGTATTAGTAAATTTCAAAGTATATCACAAGGTATGTATATTTGGATTCATATTTATACATTGTTATTTTTCTAGGACAGTTAATTTATAACTTTCTGAACTTGGAAAGTCATGTTTTAAAAAAGAGGTTCAGGTCTTCATTAATTTGAAGCTTTCTCAAGTTCATTATATTATATTCGCTCTACATTTGAATAGGTTCTTAAATTTTCATAATAAAAGTGGAAAGAAAAAATAACTTTGAAATTTTTTGATGGATAACTAACAAACTAAGGAATTCTAGACAGATTTTACATCCCAATTGTATTTTAAAATACTGTCTTCATAGCAAACTATATTTGTCTATCAAATCAATATTGTTTACATTCCTAATATCTTAAATATTCTTTCATTATAGAACATATTTCACTGAAGATTTTATATTCATGTTCATATCTGTCTCCCCCAATTCAGCAGATATTGTATATACTTCATTCATCCTTGTGTTTTAACCTAAATTGGTCTACTTAAATATTTTGGGTGTATTTGATACTGCTTAAGATAAATGTTGATCAACTGACCTTAGAAATACATTAGCTACACAGACAGATATTTTCAAACTTAAATTTTATTGTTTAGTTGGATTTTTTTTAGTCTTCAGTGTCCCTAAGCTGTATATGCATATATCTACAGCAAGGGCAGTGTAAGCTTGTTATTTGGGAGAAACAGACCATTTTTCTTTTTTCCAAACAAGATTTTCTCTTTCAGACCATTGTAATGTGTAAAAATTTGGCCTTTTTTCCCTATCACTAGGACCACTGATCTTCTTTGGCATATTATTTCAGAATATACAGAATATTCAACCTGGAATATTTTTTTATAAGGTATACTTGCACTGTGCCATGCTGAAAGTAGGGCGTTACCTTGGTTACAGAATGATAGAACTAGAAATATGTGGTGACTAGAATTGAAAGCCATGACGAAAAAGCCTTAAAAAATACAAAAAACCTTGAATTACAGAAATCCCAGTTTAAATGTTGGAATCATTCTCCTTTGCATACAAGGAAACCAAGGATGATATGCTAAGGATAGCCCAGACACCAAGTTATCATTCAGTCCACTTCACAGTTATAAAACACAAGTGAAGATAGTGGAGAACAAAACAAATAAATAAAAACAGTTATTATGAAAGACTGCAAGTAAGGTTACAGGTCGTTCTCTGGCATAAAACTACCTGAAGGTCACAATGAAAATTTCCTATTTGGCCAAACCACCAAATGAGATGAAAAATAAATTCCTCCCATAAGATCTAAGGCATGCAGAAAATATGACATGTGCTAAGGTTAAACTATGAGATCTTTCTTCTCAAAGTTTAACTGTAATCACACATATATATGGGACGCTTAAAATGCCTTATTAAAAAGGATGAGCAAGGCATTCTGCCAAAGAAGACAGCCTAGCACACTTTTATCAGTACCATTCTGCCCAAGGACATCTACTTATATCACTACCATTTATGTATCATGTTTTATATATGTATGTGTATGTGTATATCTGTATGACTGTATATTTAAAAATCTTTTCTAAGTGATGGAAAAATCCCACAAGTTCAACAAAGTGCATAAATATACGTTATGCTTAAGTGTGAAAGTTGCTCAGTTGTGTCTGACTCTTTGCGACCCCATGGACTATACATACAGTCCACGGAATCCTCCAGGCCAGAATACTGGAGTGGGTAGCCTTTCCCTTCTCCAGATCTTCCCAACCCAGGGATCAAACCTAGGTCTCCCACATTGCAGGTGGATTCTTTGCCAGCTGAGCCACAAGAGAAGCCCAAGAATACTGGAGTGGGTAGCCTATCCCTTCTGCAGCAGATCTTTCCAACCCAGGAATTGAACCAGGGTCTCCTGCATTGCAGGCAGATTCTTTACCAACTGAGCTATCAGGGAAGTCCTTATGTTACACTTAATCAACTATTATTATTAAATACATTAAATAACCACAGAACTATCACCTAAATCAAGAAATCCATCACCAACAACCCGAGAAACCCGTGTGACTTTTTCCTGTCACATATCTGTCCCTTTCAAATCACTATCCTGATTTTTTTTTTACCCTTATTTTTAAAGGTAATCGTATCCATATATATCCATACTTTTACAGTTTCACCAAATAATCATCCCTAAAAAACTATAGCTTAATTTCAGCTTTTTTTGAAACTTCATGTAAATGGAATCATTTATTTTTCAGTGCTGGCTTTTTCTTCTTAATATGTTTATAGGACTCATCTACACTATTGGTTATGACTGTCTTCATTCCTTTCCATAACTGTGTATTTTTCCATAATATGGATATACCATGTTAATCTACTGTTAATGGATTGTTTAAATATTTCATTATTATAAACAATGCTGTTATGAACATTCCTGGAATGGCTCCTGGTGTACACGAACATGTTTCTGGGTATACACCTAACAGCAGAATTTCTGAATCACTGGGAACACGTACCTCTAACTCAGTAGAGACTGTTTTCCAAATTGTACCAATTTAGTATTCTTGCCTGGAAAATCCCATGGACGGAGGAGCCTGGTAGGCTGTAGTCCATGGGGTTGCGAAGAGTCCGACATGACTGAGCGACTTCACTTTCACTTTTCACTTTCATGCATTGGAGAAGGAAATGGCAACCTACTCCAGTGTTCTTGCCTGGAGAATCCCATGGATGGGGTCGCACAGAGTCGGACACGACTGAAGTGACTTAGCAGCAGTAGCAGTATAGTCCCATCAGCATTTAATGAGTTTCCACTGTTCCACACCTTCATCAACACTTGGTATTATCATTTTTTCCAGTGAGGACATAGTGGTATTTTATTGTGGTTTTATTTTGCATTCCCTAATTTTTAATGAGTTGAGCATATTTTTATGTGTTCATTAGCTGCTTGGATTTTATCTTTTGTCAAAGGCCTTCTCAAATCATTTGCACGTGTTCACCACTGAATTTTCTACATTTCTCTTAATGATTTGGGGTGTTTTTCTACATGGTGTACACATCAGCCCTCTGCTGGTTACACATGTTGTAAATATCATCTCATCTACTGTCATGCTTTTCTCAAATTTTTATTTTTAAAATAACCAAATTTATCATTTTTTCCTTTCAGTTAAGCTTTTTGTGACATAAGAAAATTTTCTGTATGCAAGCCTGTGATGCTATTCTCTTATCTCATGTTTTAAGATAAACTTTCTTATTTCAACTTTTACATTCAATAATGTATCTGAAATGAAAATTTTAAAATAGTAAAAAGTGGGATTGTTATGTGTGTCTCCAATTGTATTTTCTACATTTCTAGCACCATTTATTTAATAAACCATCCTTTTCATATAGCTCCATAGTGGTACCTTTTTTTCTTAGTGAAATAAACATCTACTAATGCATCTATTTGTTTCTGGGTTATCCTGTTCCACTGGTTTTCCTGTCCATCTTTGAACCAATACTACATTGTCTCTTAAATATAATAAGAGTTTTATCAGAATAAAACTTTATTATTGTTATGAAGTAAAACCAGTTCTGCTCCCTTGTTCTCTTTCACATTATCTTGACTAGTCTTGGTCTTTGGGATTTTGATGAGAACTGCAGTTAAGTCTTCAAATCAGTATGGGGCAATATAACATCATTACAGAATACATATAGCTTTCTGTTTATTTAGATCTTAGTTTCTCTTGATGATTTTCTATAGTTTTCTGCCAGAGATCTTAGACATCTTTTATTAATCTATTCTTAAGTACTTTTTTTTTTTTTAAGCCACTCAGCTTGCAGGATCTTAGCTCCCAGACCATGGATCAAATTCAGGGACCCCAGCAGTGAAAGCACAGAGTCCTCCTGACCATTGGACTACCAAGGAATTCCCTTAAATATTTTGTTTTTTATACTATAGAAAACAATGTATTTTAAAAATGTATTTTCTGTTTTAGCTGGTATGTAAAAATACAATGCTTTGGGTTTTCAGATGTATTTCTTTCTTTTGGCTAGCAAACCAAACTTTAATTTTCAAGATTAATCTATTCTTTTGTATTCAGGATGTAATCATATCATCTATGAAAAATGACAGCTTATTTCCTTCCAATATCTTTTCTTTCTTTTTTACTCTATAGCACTGGATAGTTCCTACAATACAATAAGAAATAAAAATGGGGATGATCCTTCTCATTCCCAATCTTAAAAGGAAATGCTTTTTGTTTTACCACTGGGTGTGATGTTTTCTACAGAATTCAGGTTATATATTCTCTTCACTCTCTTCTAATAATGGTTTGTGAAGTTTTTAAAAACCATATATGATGCTTAATCTTATGAAATGTTTTTTTCTGGATGGTAAGATCATACAATTGCACTCATCTCACACACTAGTAGAGTAATGCTCAAAATGCAAGCTTCAAAATCCAAGCCAGGCTTCAACAAAACGTGAACTGTGAACTTTCAGATGTTCAAGCTGGTTTCAGAAAAGGCAGAGGAGCCAGAGATCAAATTGCCAACATCCGCTGGATCATCAAAAAAGCAAGAGAGTTCAAGAAAACATCTATTCCTGCTTTATTGACTATGCCAAAGCCTTTGACTGTGTGGATCACAATAAACTGTGGAAAATTATTCAAGAGATGGGAATACCAGACCACCTGATCTGCCTCTTGAGAAGTCTGTATGCAGGTCAGGAAGAAACAGTTACAACTGGACATGGAACAACAGACTGGTTCCAAATAGGAAAAGAAGTACATCAAGGCTGTATACTGTCACCTTGCTTATTTAACTTATATGCAGAGTAAGTACATCATGAGAAATGCTGGGCTGGATGAAGCACAAGCCGGAATCCAGATTGCCAGGAGAAATATCAATAACCTCAGATATGGAGATGACACCACCCTGATGGCAGAAAGTGAAGAAGAATTAAAGAGCCTCTTGATGAAAATGAAAGAGGAGAGTGGAGAAGTTGGCTGAAAGCTCAACATTCAGAAAACTAAGATCATGGCATCCAGTCCCATCACTTCATGGCAAATAGATGGGGAAACAGTGGCAGACTTTATTTTTGGGGGCTCCAAAATCACTGCAGATGGTGACTGCAACCATGAAATTAAAAGACACTTACTCCTTGGAAGGAAAGTTATGACCAACCTAGATAGCATATTAAAAAGCAAAGACATTACTTTGCCAACAAAGGTCCATCTAGTCAAGGCTATGGTTTTTCCAGTGGTCATGTATGGATGTGAGAGTTGGACTACAAAGAAAGCTGAGTGCCGAAGAATTGATGCTTTTGAATTCTAGTGTTGGAGAAGACTCTTAGAGTCCCTTGGACTGCAAGGAGATCCAACAAGTCCATCCTAAAGGAGATCAGTCCTGGGTGTTTATTGGAAGGACTGATGCTGAAGCTGAAACTCCAATACTTTGGCCACCTGATGTGAAGAGCTGACTTATTTGAAAAGACCCTAATGCTGGGGAAGACTGAGGTCAGGAGGAGAAGGGGATGACAGAGGATGAGATGGTTGGATGGCATCACCAACTCAATGGACATGAGTTTGGGTAAACTCTGGGAGTTCGTGATGGACAGGGAGGCCTGGCGTGCTGCAGTCCATGGCGTCACAGAGTCAGACACGACTGAGCGACTGAACTGAAGATCATATGATTTTCCCCTTTATTAAGTTCTAATGTGATGAATTATATTGACTGCATTTGGAATAATAAACTACATTTCCAGAATAAATCCAATTTAGTATGATGATTAATTTTTAAATATACTATTAGATATTTTTTGCTAAAAGTTTATGGGAATTTTGGATCTATCTTCATGGTGAGACTAGCCTTTAATTTTTTTTCTTCTATGGTCTTTGATGGTATTTTATTAGTTTCACAAAATACATTAGTGAGCATATTTGCATTTCCTATTCCTTGAAAGAATTTAAGGTAAGATTACTTGACTTTTCTATTCTTGTGTCATCCATACTTGAAAATGTATGGGCATCAAATTTTTATAACATTCTTCTAGTATCTGTAACGTCTGTAGTGAGATCTATTTTCTTGATTCTGGTTATTTGTGCTTTCCCTCTTTTTTTTTCCCTGATTAATCTTACGAGGGATTTACCAGTTCTATGACATCTTTTCAGACTCAGCATTGGCAAATATATGCTTATATTGTGTTACATATTTTCTATCTTATTAATTTCAGTTCTATTTCCTCCCTTCTACTTTTTTTGGGTTTCGTTTATGTTTTTCTTCACTAATTTCTGAGATTAAAACTGAGCTTATTGATTTTGGCTTTTTTCATTTTCCAGTGAAAAAAAATCACTTTAAGTATGGCTTTACATGCATCATAAAAGATTTGAGCTAACTGTTCTCATTTTCATTATTAGAAAAAAAAAAAAACTTTAACATACTGTAAAATTGCAATTCTTTGTTAAATTTTTTTCCATGAGAAGTATACACATTTTAAATGTTTCATATATACTTGCAAGGGCTCTGAAGCAAGGTGCAGGGTTCTAAGTATGTCCATTAAATCAATTTTCATAATCATGTTGTCCACATTTTCTATACTACTGTTTTTTAAAAGTCTATTTGTCCTATGATATTTGTGGATATTTAGTTGTCCTCATAGTTCTGAATACTTTTGCTTCTAATCTTTTGGGATAATATGTATTTTTATAGCTTCCAAGTGAACTGGATCTTTCATCACGATAAAGTCAACCTTCTTTATCTCTAGCAAGTTTTTTAATAGTAATGTCTATTTTACCTGATAGTACTGATAATATGACTATCTCGGCCATTTTCAGGTTTGAATGGTATATTTTTTCAATCTTTTAAATCTCCTCATACTTAAGAAGTATTGCTTGTTTTAGTTGGTTTTTAAAAATTCAGTTAACAGTTGGTCTTTATTTTAACTAAAGCATTTAGGCAACATACATTTAATGTAATTACCAAAATACTGTGTCATAAATCTCGTATATTTTCTCATCCCTATTTTTACCTCCTCTTCCATGTTCCCTTTGCTCTCTGTTCTTCTGTTAGTTGATGCTGTATTAAAAAAAAGATTCTTTCCATAAATCTTTCCATTAGTTGCATTTGGTTTTAAAAATTATTCTAGTTCACCTTAAAATTTGGAATCCTTAATCAGAATCTAATGGTACTTTCTTCCAGATAATACAAGTGTCTTGGAACTCTTCACTTTTATGTCCCTCCAGATTTATACACTCATTTTGTGGTTCAGTTCAGTTGCTCAGTCATGTCTGATTCTGTGATCCCATGGACTACAACACACCAGGCTTCCCTGTCCATCACCAACTCCCAGAGCTTACTCAAACTCATGTCCATCAAGTCAGTGATGCCATCCAACCATCTCATCCTTGTTGTCCCATCTCCTGCCTTCTCCATTTTGTGGTATATAAAATATATATACATATATATATACACACACACTTTAAATTTCACAATGAATTATTTTTATTATTTTGTATATTCAACATTCATTAGATTTATATACACATTTATTACTTTTTTTTTTGCTTCTTTCTCCTCCCCTGCACCTATAACCTTTCTGGACTCAGTTTCCTTTTTGGGGGGAATCATTTTCCTTTTATCTACAAAAATCCTTTATAGTTTCCTTTTAGTAAGAATATGTTGGTGGTGAACTTTCACAGTTTCTAATATGAAAACAACTTCATTTGCTTTCAGTTCTGATGGGTAGTTACGCTGGGATTAGAATTTTAAGTTGTATTTATTTTCTTTCAGCACACAGAACATGTTTGTCATCTGGCTTTCATTGCGACTGTCAAGAAGTTAGCAGTCAAACTTTTGCCTCTTTTTAGGTACTATTTTTCTCCTGGCTAATTTTAAAATTCTGTCTTTTTTTTTTCTTCCAATTTCAATATGATGTATCTAAATGTGTATTTCTTTGAATCATGTTTTTAAATTATTGGGGTTCCTGAATCCTTGATATCTTTCATAATTTTTGACAAATGCTCTGCTAAAATTTCTTCAAACTTATGCTCTCCCATCTCCCTTCTTTCTGGGACTCCAAAAAATGTATATGAGTCCCTTTCCCTCTTATTCTCTTTTATGTATATTGGTCCTTTTCTTTCTCTGTATTTCATTCTGGATTTCCTTCCATTCTATCTTCCAGTTCACTGGTTCTCTAATTTAACTATATTTAATCTTCTGTCAAATTCATCTATTTAGGGTCTTAATTTTTGTTGTATTTCTCAATTAAGGAATTTCCAATTATTTCCTTTTCAAATCAGCTATTCTACTTTTTATAGTTTCTAGTTTAGTTGAAAATCTAAAATTTTCAAGTTTGTTTTTAACTCTTTGAACATAATAAGCATACCTGTTTTGAGTCAATGTCTAATAATTCCAGTATCTGGATATTTGTTGCCTGTTCTTTGTGTTGATTCTTGCTTACAGTGTCTTGTCTCCTCACATCCTCTCTGATTATGTGCTAGACACTATATTTGAAAAATTATTATGGGATGGTTTGTTTCCTCTGGTTCCCTCTTATTCCTAGAGTGTATCCCTGAAGATTTCTTGCCTAACTGGTATAAAGACTACTTTACACCATTAAAGTAGTATACTTCACACTGTCCCTGACATGCCTTCTTTTAAAGGCCCTCCTCATTCCCTCTTGCCTCTTCACAACCTCCAACCTCTCACTCTAGAGCCTCATCCTCAGCGTCCACACAGTTGGTAGGCCTGGTGCTCCAACTTTTATGACCTTTGCCCTGCAAGAGTATATAAGTGGAGCAGAGCCTCTCAGCTGCCTTTTCCAGACTGGCATAAGAATGTGTAACCTACAGAACCACCTTTCCCAAGATTTTAAAATCAAAGAAATTTGGAAAGTAGTTTTGGCCAATATATATATAGTTATGAAATATATAGCGCAGCTGAAGTTAGAGATATCTGAAATAACTTATCACATCATTAATAAAAGAACGGAATTTGAGTTAAACAGCTGGCAATTAAATAATACCAGAAAAAAATGGAAAAAGCCTACATGATCAAAAATCAAGAGGTGTGTTTATTTTCTCACCGTTTTCTGCCAATGGAGCAAGAACTTCAAAAACCATTTCCCTCTTATCATGCTCTATTTGCTTCTTGAAGAGTTTCACCAGCTCTTCAGCAATGTTTGTACTGGCAAACTGTTCTTTACTTGACTCTGTAAAAAATAAGAGGAAAATTTAGAGTAAGAAAACAAAAGCACAGAAACTGTTTTCTATTACTTTCAATACTTGGTCATTTTGTATCATTACTGATAAATGAAAACACTCTTCAAATACAGAAAACAGTCGTTTTTTTTTTTTTTTTAATGCCTCTGTAGAGGAAAAATGTCTAAAGCTTTAAGATGTTCTGACCCAATTATATTCAAGGCTATAAAAAAAAATGTTCGCTAGCATAACATATAGGTAACCATAGCAATGATAAAATTACTGTTATAAATTCATAGTTTCAAGGCTTTTAGCCAAAGAAGAAAAATTACTCATAGCAGATTGCATTTCACATGGCTGAATTAAAGGTGACTTGTTTTTATACCATTAGAGTGGTATACTTTCACACTGTCCCTGACATGCCTTCTTTCTTGTCTCCGACCTTTCACTCTAGAGCCTCATCCTCAGCATTTAAATATGCTTTAATATTTCTCACAAAAAAAGCAGTATTAAAACCAAATACCTTCCCTTTACTCCACTTTCATGAAGCTACCATCCAGTCTGTTGAATTTCACAAACAAGCATCTTGACAGCACTGTCTACATACACTGTCTCTACTTCCTCAACTCACATGCATACCTAAACCCCCCTCAAACCAGTTTGGGCCCACCTCTACCTTCTGCAGTCTCCTCTGCATGCTCCTCCTTTCCACCAGACCAGTATAAACTCTAGTTCCTTGAGACTTCACCTTCTGCTTTCTTACCTTTTTGATCCTTACTCTCACCCTAGGCAATCTAATTTTTTTCCATGGCATAAAAATACCTCCTATATGTTGATGCTTATACAATCATACCTCTAGCCCTCTTCTTAACTCCAGGCTACTTAAATGTCCATTTGACATCTCCATTTGAATATCTTTCTAGCATCCAAACACCATGCCTGAGGTAGACTTCTGATATTCTGATATGTCTGTTCTTTCTCCAAACACCATGCCTAAGGTAGACGTCTGATATTCTGATATGTCTGTTCTTTCTCCAAACACCATGCCTAAGGTAGACGTCTGATATTCTGATATGTCTGTTCTTTCTCCAAACACCATGCCTAAGGTAGACGTCTGATATTCTGATATGTCTGTTCTTTCTCCAAACACCATGCCTAAGGTAGACTTCTGATATTCTGATATATCTGTTCTCTCTCCAGAGTTCCTTAATTTAGTGAATAAACATGCCACCTACCTGCCTGCCACACATGCAGAAACCTGGGGGTCATCGCTCACTTGTTCTCTCTCAGTATATCCACAGAATAACCAAAATCAGTCTACCTCCAAAATACAACCAGAATCCAGTCTATTTCCTTTCTGATTCTCAGTTCTTTTGCTGCATCAGATATCCTATCAATTTATCTAAAGTTTCTCTCAGAGAATCGACCAATCTAGTCAAGACTGCTTGCTCTCCATGTCTGCTGGGCACTGACATCCTGGAATTCCTTTTTCATGATCTTGATGGATATTTTCTTCTCCTTCCTGTATTAGATACTCTATTACCTCTGTTAATTCACATTCAATTTTTTAGTTTCAGTGGACGCATCCACCAGCAACTTTCTGAGAAAGGTAAACTACACTGTTTGAAGAAGATGAATATTTGGAAATTTTAACTGTCTGAAATGTTCCTTCCCACCTAGAGTGTACATCTGTAATTTAAATTCCTTCCTTACCTCATTCAATTATGTCCTCATAATAGCAATTATTGTAACTTACAATTATATGCTTGTTTATAAGTTCATTTTAGAAATAAGTTTCCACATCACCTACTAAAATATAAGCTGCTTGAGAGCATGACCACCACAAACACAGCATACAGTATGGTGCCTAGTACAGAGCAAGTGTTCAAAAGAAATTTGTTGATTTTTTGAATGTGTGACTGAAAAAACAAGTAAATGAGTGCAAGAGTTACATTCTATTCTCTAGTTTCTGATAAATCTCCTCCAATATCAAATAAAAAATATTACAAATTCAACTTTAAAAGAAAATGGAGAAACAAATATTTATATTTGTTTAAAACAGTTTTGATTTACTCTACTGTTACCCTGCTTTTGGCACATGTGCCAGACCTATCCCAAAATGATGTGAATCCAGTCCAAGACTTCAAAGTAAGATTCATTAGTGCTACAAAAAAAAAAGCAAAGGGTGGAGTGTCTTTTCTAATAAGCTACCTAAACCCTCAGAAAGCAAATTTTACAAACAACACACCTTACCCAAAAAGTTAGTTTGATTTAAACAGGAATGATTTAATTCCTCAACATTTGCGGTTGCTCTTCTGTTTCACAGAATTCTTCAAATAAATGGAACATAAAATCATAGATGAAATAGACATGATTTATCTAGTTATGTACTCTCAACTCTTTTTAAAATAGTTGAAGCACTTTTTTCCAACCCATATTTTATCCTTCCACTTATTAAACTGAAACAAAATCACCGTGTTAAGTATAATTCAGTCCATTTGCCAGCACAAGGGAACAATGCACCATGATTAATATAGGAATTCATGAAGAAAACCTGATCATATCCTGTAGGTGGATACAGAGAAAAGACAGCATGAACCGTGATTTGGACATTATACTTGATTTAAATGCCACCAGATCCTTAAGACTTTCAGCAAGAAGGATTTTTTCCTAAGGGTTTATTTCTAAAGTTTTGTTTTTGGTTTTTTTTTTTTTTGATGTGGACCATTTTTTAAAAAGTCTTTATTGAATTTGTTACAATACTGCTCCTGTTTTATATGTTTTGGTTTTTTTGGCTGTGAGGCATGTGGGGTCTCAGCTCCCCAGCCAGGAACTGAACCTTCATCCTCTGCATCAGAAGGTGAAGTCTTAACTATTGGATAGCCAGGGAAGTCCCCCATTAAGGGTTTATTTTTTAACAAAATTATATATGAGTTTAAAGAGTTAGTTCCAATACTTACATTACTGGCAGAATCCAGTCCCCCTTTCCCATTTCTTCTTCAAAAACAAGCACATAAAGCTCTTTTAGCTAATTCACTGATATTTACCTCCAAAAACATTTTATATTGACAATTTTTGCTTTTTTAGTTTTAGGTATTTTTGATTGACTTTCCACTATGAAAGATGAAGCACTAGGTTTCTCTTTTTCCTGTCTCCACAATAACCTACACCTTTACAGTGTAATTATACCGTAATTTTGGCTTGAAGTAATTAGTGTTTCAATAATATACTGCTCCATGTGGCCTGGAGTTACTTTTATTTCCTTGGAATTACTTTTTTTTCCTCATTTACTTAGCTTTCAATGTACTTATTAATTCAACTCCAAACTCTCCATCGGTTGTCTGATTTTTTTTCTTAATAAGCACATTCTCTTTAGGTGCTCAATTAATTTCATCTCGTGTAAGAGTCTCCCCAGTCTGGACTGGTTGCCCTTTGAAAACAGGACATTTGCGGCTGTCGTGTCACCATACTACTAGAAACTCCTATTTTCCTGTTGAATCTCTCGTCTCCTGATTCCTACATAATCTTATTATTTATATCCCTTGTTTCACTGGAACACATCTTCCAGAGGCTTCCAGGAAAGATATAAAGGATACCAATTTTCTGAGACATTCATGTTTAACACTGTCCCTATTTTTACCTCACACTTGACTGATGATCTGCATATAGAATTCTATACTGGAAATGATTTTTCCTCAAATTTTTGAAGGCAACAACATTCCATTTTCTTTTGGTTACCAGTGTTCTTTTGATACCTCTGATGTCTACTGATTCACAATCTTTTCTATGTAACTTTTTTCCTTCCTCTCTCTCTCTGGAATTCTATGAAATGTTCCCTTTGTCCCCATTATTCTAAAATTTCACATTGGTGTGCTGTAGTCTGCAGGCCTAATTTCATCCACTAGGCTGTCATTTGATAAGATTCTTCCAATCTGGAGAAATATATATATTTTAGTTCTGTGACACTTGGGTTTATTCAGCAATTTTTTCCTATTTATCTCTTCCTAGAACTCTTGGACCGATCCTCTATCTACAAACTCTCTTCTATTTTCCATACCCTTGCTTTTTGCTTTACTTCTGTAAATATATCTCTGTACATTTTACTGTCTTTCATTTTAGCTGTTTTAGCTTTCTCGCTCTGTTCCTTTTTCTTTAAAAATAGCATCCTGTTATAGTTTCATGCTTACAGTATTTTTCTATTTGAGCATATTAGAGACCCCCCCCCCCCCCCCGCATAGTTTCTATTTCCTCCAAGTTACTTCTGTAAAATTTCATTATTTCCCATGTTCAGGCTGTCCTCACTTTTCTAGTTGCCTGCCACTGATTAAGAACTGGGATTTAAAAACTGATTAGGATCTATGAGTGGCCTTGTAAGATTCCCTGTATATCTGAAGGCTCTGTGTAGAAGAACTCCAACATAAGTATCTTTAAGTCCATATTCTAGAGAATAAATGGGATAGTTCCGCATACCTACTTTCACTATTTTCAGAATGGTACTCTAGTACCTCTCATTAATCTGCTGTCCCCAGTCTACCCTCTACTCTGAGTCTCTCTACAGAGTAAACACAGTCTTCTGCTTAGACGGGAAGGCCAGTTACCAGAGTGGGAAGGGAAAGAAACTCTTGATGCCACTAAACCCTGAACCTTTTGAAGACACCAAAAAACAACTGGTTAGTGCTTGGCTTTCCAATTCAGGATTCAAATTTTAAAGTTTTGCTAAGTGAGTTATTGCTTTTTTCCTTTCCAGGTTCTAAAAAGTTTTTATATTATCCCTTTTGCTTGTTTTCCCTCCCCTTTCCTTGATGGTTTTGTATTAAAAAAAATCTCTTTACTGTAGTTTTAGTTGGTTTCCAGAAGGGAGTAAAAGTACAGATTTTCATTCTAACATTTCTATCCGCCCCCCAAAATACTAATATTTTAAGCAGACAAGTTTATTTATAAAAGACTGTGAAGCCAGACAAAAAGGGGGGAAATCCCATTCTGCTTAATCTATAATGTTTATAAGCATGCAAACTTTAAAACTGGATTCATCCTATAGTTGTGAATATAGAATAATAATGTGTGCACATAAACTAGGAATCAAAGACAATAAAAAGGGCTGCACATTCCTTTTCTGCCCCCAATCCTGAACTAGACTGCATTCATTTATTTTCTATTTTATCTTTAAGCTATATCTTTAGTGAGCAAAAACACATAAATTTCTTAGCTCCAATTGTAAATAATATAATCCTAAAATGTAACTGGATCTACACTTTAACACTGAAACAATGTATCTATGATGCTTCAAAAAAAATAAACTAAAAGAATCTAAATGGATTTCCAGGTTAACATCTAAAGAAAAATGTATTTTAAGTATATTAATCAGTTATGAATAATTACATTTTGGTTTATGCCTAGGACTTACCAAGTTCTGCTAAGTTGCCGAAGGCAACAAGACACATTTCTGTAAGAGCCGCATTTTGGCAGTGGATGCCCAGTAACTTAACTAAGGTAGGAATAACACCCATGTTGATAAGCTGAGCTTGAAGGGAATCTGTTAAAAAACAAACAAACAAACAAGAAAACAAAACACAAAAAAAGTATTTACATATTAACTGGACATTAGTAAGAAGAAAACACCTCTTATACTCCCTACTGCAAACACAATACTATTTCATATGGTAAAGCAAGGTTAAGTCCACTCGTAAGTCTTGAAAATGTTTTAAGACATTAGTTCAAAGGAACTGAATTTTGAAACTTTTCAATGAAATTTTCAAAGAAATTTAGAAATGACAATAATTCAAGTAATATGTCAAATCACAGGTTTTTTTTTTTTAATGGTCTTATACCTTTACTAAGTAGGTTTTAAAATGCATAAACAATTAAATATTACCATTGGTTTCTAAGTTAAAAGGTTAGACAAAGTAACATTTGCATAACAGGAAGACACAGAGCATATGAAAAGCATAAGAAAAAAAGCAACTTTAATAAAGACTAAGAAGATAAAAGTCTTAGAACCCCTTAGAAACAGTTGCTTCATAATAAAGAATGAAAAATATATAACACACTCAAATTATTTATTTGCAGCGGAGTGTTCTTTGATGACTGTTAGGAAGGAAAGTTTTAACAAGGAAAAAAATCTGGTTACTTAAAATATTTCTCTTTTCAAAGTTTTATTTAATAATAGTGACAATCATCTTAGGAAAGAAAGGAAGATTTGGCTTGAGAGGTAAAGAGGTCAATATGGCTTTGTTATTGCTTGCCTTCATTTTCTAAGAAGCTAATTGATTTTAAAGTACTTAATATGCCCCGGATTTTCACAACGGCTCTTCATGAACAATGATAATAGAATACCTGTAGCAAAGTTGAAGGCAAGTAAACCAAAATGAAAACCAAAAGTACTGCCTCTGAGAATAAGATAAGAAGACACTCATATGCCTATGCAAAACACTATCACTACTAATTGCTGGTTCATCTAAAGATAGAGGAGAGCTTTCAAAATTTTTCTCTTTTCCTTTTAAAAATTATATGCCATTTTCAAGTTAATAATTTTCTCCAAATTTTTTTAATGTATTTTTTAATGTATTTGTTTATCTAAAGATAAAAGTCTGTTTCTTACAAAACACATTTTCCTCACAGCATGCATCCTTTGATGGAGTTTGTGTACTAATCTCTTTACCACTCTTCAGAGTTCTTAAGCTTCCCCGTGGCTCAGAGGTAAAGAATCTGCCTGCCAGTGCAGAAGACGTGGGTTGGAGCCCTGGATGGGGAAGGTCCCCTGGAGAAGAACATGGCAGCCCACTCCAGCATCCGTGCCTGGGGAAGCCCTTTGGCAGAGCTTTGAGGGCTACAGACCGAGGAGTTGCACAGAGTCAATAACAACAACACAGTTCCTAACCTGTAGGTAAGGAGATGGCTGGGTGATTATCAGGAAGAAAAGGTAAGGCTGAGCTGTCTCACATGCCAACTGATCACTTGCCTAGAGGTCTGTATAGTTAATTTTTCCTGCTTTTAGAGTCAAATATGAAGAGATAGCCAACAGAGGCTTGTCAGCCCTGAAAACTGATGGTAATTGTGGATATTATCTGGCTCAGTTGGGGGGGGTCATCTATACTAGAAAGAGACTTATTACCAAAATAAGAATAGAAAACAAATCCCGAGACAAAGGAAGTTTCCATTGAGAGTTCAAATAGTCTAAAACAATTTCAAATTTTGCAGTGGAATTATGAAGTCTGTTCTAAAAGGACATGTATATAAAAGAATGTATTCAATTAAATGATTCATTTTTATGCTTCTGATGCTAATTATTTTTTCTAACTATACAATTCAGTAATGACTCACAACACTTACATTATCTTACAGGCAAATCACCTATTATACCTATAGTATTATACCTATTATAGTATATTATATTGGCAGAATATTTGTATTTTGGTTATAGTATTTATAAAGATCATGCACCAAGAAGCTTTCCAAGTTAGAAATTATTTTGGTTACTTACCAGTTGATAGAGTGCCTTATAATTAGATCACCTCTGCAGATCCTTGTTCTTTAGCAATATTTTTATTTATTTATTCGTTTTGACTACCTCTTCAAATACTGCAGAGCTGCTGAATCATTAAATCTCAGGTATGTAAGCGTGAGCACTAGCGCATGCATTGAGTGAGTCAAACTCCACTATATGTCTGCATATATGTAAGCATCACACACCCCCTCAGTACTGTTGGTACAAACTGAAAATCCAACAGTCCAGGGACATTAGAGGAATAACAAAATATAGGAAGGAGATAACAGGAGAATGCCACTTAAATAATGCTCATGTTTTCTGAACTTGGCATCTCTACCACTTTCTTTGACTACTTTTACAACATTACTGATTTTGGTTCCAGGGATAAGAGGGCCAAAAAAAAAAAGAAACATTACAGAGTTTCATACAATCTGTGGCATACAAACTGAAGCAGCAATATTTGAAATTGTGGTAGGTAAGCAGAAATTGTAGCATAGTCCAATGGCATATGGTATAAATTGCCATAATTCATGAAAATCACATTGCTTCATGAAAATGTGTTTTCAAGCTACCCAGGAGCCAAATTAATTGTGTATTCACATACAACACACATACCACACACAAGTAAAGAGAAAAAATATATAGTCATCCAATACACAGGTCTCATTTTAGACCACTTGGGTGCCCATCTTTTATATCCATTTCTATGAAGGTAACTAAAACAAAAGTTACACTCAAATAATTCTAAAATCTGTTTATGCCAATTGCAGCCAAGTCATTCTCCTTTGTTAATGGAGGCCAAGGAGAGGGAAATATCTTTACTTAAACAAGCTGATACAAATTTTCATCTCAAGATAGGCAGGCATCCTAGAACATGGTTCTTAAAATGGAGTCCCCAAAACCCTTTCAGAGGATCACCAGGTCAAAATTACTTTCATAAAAATACCAAGATTTGATTTGCCTTTTTCACTGTGCTGACATTTCCATTGATGGCACGACAACAGTAGTGAGCAAAACTGCTGGGGGCATTAGTATGAACCCAGTCAATGGCACCAAAATGTATCAGTAGTCACTGTATTCTTAACATCACACATTCACAGTAAAATAAATGCTGTTCTTTTCAGCAATTAAAGAAATTTAACTTATTTTTTCATAAAAAGATGCTAGTTATGTTGACCTATAATGGGTTTTTATTATTTGAAAGTGTGATACTAATTTTTAAAATGCCTTCATTTTAATTTCTAATATAATATTGACAGATATAACCTATACATATGAACAAAAATTCTTTGAGATCTTTGGTAATTTTTAAGTGTCTAAAAGAGCCCTGAGATCAAAAGTTTAAGAATCATTCGTCCCCCGCACCCCTGCCCTTGCGGAGGGGCTATAGAGCACTTTCCCCCATAATTTTGTAGGTCTTGTGAGATAAACAAGACTACCAAAAAAAAAAAAAAATCATTGCCAATGGATTACTTAATTTTTACAGGAACTGGGGGAAAAAATATAGAAAAGAGATCTAAAATTCAATGATATGCTTGGCAGATGCAAAAGAAAGAAATTAAAAGCATGGTAGGAATCCTAGATACTGGTGCTTAGATATTTTGAGTGAAATAACATTAATTAAGCACCAGAACACCTCATTTTGCTTATATGAGTAGATATTCTACTTAAGTCTAGGAGAATATTCCATGATTAGATCTGGTTGCCTATTTCAGTTACAACTTACTATATTATCAATACATAGTTCTTTTGAGGGTTAAGTGGAGCTCCTGTTTGTGTGGAATAAATTAGTATTAGTTCTTATTGCTGGAAGCAAATGATTAAGTTGAATGACTTTTTCTTATTGCCCAAAGAAAGCTGTTCATAGACTTCAAAGGACATGGCTGACACTCATGCTATTGTGAACGGTATCAGGGATATGACTCATAAATTAAAGACTAACTGGAAGAAATCCTCAGAACCAGTTCACATTCTCTAGATACATTTGAGAGAATAAGACACAATTCAAGACTGAGACTTATTGCATCCTTCAATGAATACCAGCAACTCCAAAAGAATGTCAGAGCTCAACAAATACATTTCACAAGAATGCAACCCAGGCCCATACATAGCAAACACGTATGTGTGAAAGACAGTCTTTAGACAGGACAATGTCATAAATGTCTGAAGACTTGTAAAAATTGCTCCTGACACACATCACAGACAAATACTGACCAAAATACAGAATTACAAAATTACATAATATCAAGATGACACAGGCCCTGCATGTATGGGGAGGAAGAGGAAGAAAGGCACTGAGGGGGTGCAATACAGATGCATATACAAAGAGATATAGAAGGCAATCAACGCATGCGCTGGTGTGGACACTTACCTACCTACATTTGAATTTCAATGGTTCCAAGTTCTTCAGGTCACACACACATGGAAACTCCAAAGAATGGAGATCTGGAGAGAAGATCTCAAGTTGAAGAACCTTTTTCCCCCTGAGTTTTCAGTTTAATGTTTCAAACATTGGTATAGATTATAGGGCCAGAAAAGTATGCCAAGAATTCTAGTAACTCAACTGAAGTTACGTGGATCAATTACTAAAAAGTATAGGTTTTTAACGAAGATAACACGTTTATCTTATTCCTAAGAAAAGGTCCTTATAATGTTATAAAATTATTAAGCTGATTAATAGGACATAATGATGAAACTGTGTCAAAGTAACACACACATATAGACAATTCAAAAGACACAGGCTCTACATTAGTATATAGATTTGGTATGTATAGTATTCATAGTATAAAGAGTACAACAGTCCTATTTATAAGCTTGCACAAAAACCACATCTATAGTCTAATTATATACAGTGGAAACAATAAAAACAAGCAAATATAAATCCTGATGAGTTGGATAAAAATCATTTGGGTATAATAAAGACCAAAAAACTGCCCTTTACTAATGGCACATCTATATTTCCAAAAATATATATAAAAAGAAAAATTATATATGATGTAACAGTGCAGTATAATTTGTGAGCTGAAGCAAGTTGTAGCTCTATAATC